GGAGGGGAGGGGAGGAGGAGCTCTCAGTACATTCATTTACTTACAATTTTTAAAGTAAGAATATTCCACAAAAACACACAGCCTTCTGATGATTTATTCAAAACTGTAATTTGAAGATGCCTTAAACATTTAAGTATTTTCTGCAAAGACTGGCAGAAACTGTGTAACTCTCAGTTGGAACTGTTTTTTCCCATGCAGGACTTCTCCCTATAAAATTGAAATTTAGGAAATTCCAAAGAATATACCAGTAATATTATCTAACTAGTATCTAGGAAAGGAATCAAAACTCACTCAGAGGAAAATTTAAAAGCAGACTAAACAACATACCAGAACATATGCTACTAGTAGTAACTCCATGTTTGCAAGGAGATGGCCTAGTTTTATGTCAGTAATTCTGTAGGTAATCACTAAGTATGGAGGGTTTTTTCCTTTCTAAAGTCTACTGAGACAGGTGATCAGTACTTGTGTTCTGCTATTTTATTACCTTACACTGAAAGCTCTTGCTCATTGTATTTTAAATTTCAATTTAGTTCTGGTTGCACCAGCAAGTCAAGCAGGACTTACTTAAAGAACAGCTTGACCCATTGTAACATTTGAAGTATTTAAGAGATTGGGGCTCGAGAGGAGCTTATTTCTAAATTATTAGGTAATCTTTTCATGTGGACTTCCATAGTCTTGCAGTGGGAGGCTACAGCATGTCGAGATGGGAAAAGGGATGGCACTAGAATGTAACTCTGACATATTTAGCACACTGAACAGCCTTGCAAAGACCTTGAATTATTAAAACATCTAAATAAAGACTGTCACCTTCAGAAGCCCTGAAGCTCAAAGGAGGAAAAAAAAGAGTTCCCTCTGAACCAATGCCCCTTCCTCAAAGCATTGACTGCTCATGATGATTTTAACAGTATTTTCATAACTGCATAAAATCCAAGGGTGCAGTCTCATCTTAGGTTGGTATGCCCAAGCTAGTGTAACACTAGACAGCTTAAATGTAGCTGTGGTAACTCAGAACTAGCCTGGGCCTAGTGCCAGCATATCTGCCCAGAATCCTAGGCATGTTCTGCAACCTGGTTAGTTTGGGTATATGCAGCTCATGTGCAGTCATGTCCTTATGCTTCAGGTTTGGAATGCAGACAGCTTCAGGACTACAGAACTATTAGAGTGTCCATAGTGTGATCGAGGCCCAGCTTCAATGATATGTAAAAGCAGATGCCCAGGGTAGTTTAAAGATAGGAGAGGCCAATAGTGATATTCACAAGAGTGCATTTCCAGTCTCCAATTACTTACAACTCAACAATTTCCTGAATGAACTGATGTCTTCAAGGTGAGGTCTAAGCACATGACAATTCTCAGTGGCATCTCCCCTGCACCCATTAACTTGCTTCATCCTTGTCTAGCCCTCTTTGTATTATTGTTGTAGCTTTTGTGAATTGGGATAACTGGGATGCATCCAGCATTCAGGCTCTTCCAGACTCTACAAAAGCTTGCTCTTTTTTCAGCACCTCTGTGATATGCACTGATCACTGAAGCTGATTCTACTAAGGAGGCTGCTCTGACTCACACCTTATTCTGATGTGCTTTCATTCCCAAGGACTCACCATCTTCACACTACTTCTAACTGATTTATGCTGAAAAGTGAGTTTTGAAAAGTAATGAGAGCAGCACAGTTAGTGGTAATTAGACTAAATGAAGATTCATGTATTAGTAAGAGGCACAGCGGATCAGATAATGTGGAGGAGGAGGCAAAGGAAATAGTGACTCTAGATTGTGCCTTGGCAAAATGTTTTTCCTGTTTCCACATTTTCTTGTAATATTACCAGGCATGGAGCTAGTAGGATGACTTGGGCTGGTTGTGATGACATAAAGTATCTTTGATGAGCGGGCTGCATTGATGCTGAGATTTGTTTGTTCATTTGTCTTCTCTGAAAGGGTCTGATTCATTGGAATCTTGTTTTGATGCACATTGTCCTTCACAGCTGAAAACACAAGAGTATGATTACAATAACAATTTCTTAACAGGTGTAATTGGACTTCATTTTGTGCTTGTAAACAGACATGTCCTGCTCTCTGGTTTACTTAGAGAACTCCAATAATCAAATTATGTCTGATGCCAGAAAAAGCCCGTACTTTACCAAGTTGGGGTTCTCAGAATTTTTCTGGAAGTTAATTGTTCATCCTAACAGTAGGTACAACTCAAGGACTAAAATGTTTTCTCCTGATGACTTTTGATTTCACTGGAATAGACTCTTGGAAAGAGCCAAGATGAACCAAGATGCAGATGGACTACTGTTTTTTTGTTTTGTTTCAGCTTTGTCATTTTACAATCTGTTTTGAAAGGCATGTATCTTTAGGATTGAATTTTTTAAAATTTAAATTTTGCTATTTATGACATAGCTGACTGGAGTGTTCAAAACTGAGAGAAGTTTAGTGAAGCTTTTACCCACTGAGCAGCGGCAACAAGATAGATGAAACACCTGTAGACATGAGAGTTAAAATATTTGCTCTTTTTTTGCCACTTCAGAAAGCTCCTGTGTGAATTAAATGCTTTAACAGCTCATTGAAAGGTAGAAGCAGCAAAGTTAGTCTCTTACCTCTATATCTGATAGCAAATCCCTGGGCTTGATTGATTTCATCTGAGAAAAAGTACAAAATGACAAAATCCAAAGAGATGTTAAAGGTGTGGGGAGGCCGGTTCTTCCCATTAAAACGAGCTAGAACATGATAGGTATAACCATCCAGCAATTCCACCATATCTGTAGCATCTTTGATTTCAAAAAGGGCAAAGCTGAAGTGGATTCGAGATGCTCCTGGAACTTGTATGGTCCAGTAACAGACTTTGCCTGTGCCGTATGTGTCAGGAAAATCTGGGGAATAGATCACAGCTGTAGCAGAAGTGTAATTCCCTCCGCAGGCACCAATAAGGGCTGTGAAAAGAAGAGGAGAGGGAGGGGGAAAAAAAAAAAAAGTTTATACATTCTTTATGCACAGCTTTAGCACTCTGTAGATTCTAATACTCAAATGTGACTTGAAGATACAGACTTCCTACCCCAGCAGGACGCGCCGTTCTGCAGATTGGTATTCTTTACCTCCCACAGCACTGGGAGCACAGCTATTATGTTGCATTTGGTTGAGATACACTTGTTCTGTCTCATTAGTCTGAGACCTATGTATCAATCTTGAATACTGCAACTATCCTTTGTCTTTGTATGTAACCATGTACCCTTTCCCGCATCCCTGCAGGAACAGGATGAAAGCTAAATCACTGATTCAGGGACTTCTACTCCATCCCTATCAGGCAGGCAAGTGGATTAGTGACTGTAACGCTCACTGTTGAATTACTGAAATTCCTTCACAGCCTTATCAATTGAAAAAAACAAATCTTCACAGAATAGCTCAGGTTGGAAGGGACCCCTAGAAATTGTCTAGTCCAATCCCCCTGCTCAAAGCAGGAGATGTTGTCTAGTTGTGTTTTGAGTCTCCAAGGATGGAGACTCCACAACCTCTCCAGGCAACCTGCTCCAGTGTCACCCTCACCATAAAAAGAGTTTTTCCTTATGTTTAAATGGATTTTCCTGTATTTCAGTTTGTGCCTGTTGCCTCTTGTCTGTTCACTAGATAACACTGAGGAGAGTCTGGCTTTATCTTTACATCCTCCCATCATTTATTTATATGAACTGAAAAGATCCCCCGAGCCTTCTTTTCTGAAGGCTAAACAATCCAAGATCTCTCAGCCTCTCCTTGTATGAATGATGCTGTAAACCCTTAATCACCTTTGTGGCCATTTATATGTGCTTTTTAAGCATCCTGTCTTTTGATCTTGTCTAATTAATGTTTGACCTTACCTTCACCAAGTAACTTGAAAAAGATCCTATTATGAAGCCTAAAGAAAATCTTTTAGGTTTGTTGCTACCTTTTATATTCAAAACAAGTACACACCCAGTAAATCTTTATATTCCTTGACAACTATCCAGATTCCCAGTGCAAACTTATTTACCAGTGAATCCAGAGAGGAACTCAAATGGCAGCCAAATGACATGATGCATATCTATATATACACATATATACATTTAAAAATGTATTGTATATAGGTATATATGCATATGTATTTTTATATATCCCCTAAATACACAATATTATATAATAATGTATTTCATGACAAAGTTGTTTGGATCAGAGTTATCACTCCCCCATATCATAGGCTGAAGGACTGAAGAATCAAAGTAGAATTATTTTCTCTGAAAGCTTAATTAAAGCCCTGTAATAGAGGCCTGTGAGAATGGAAATAAAGGAAGTGTTTTGAAGTGTCTCGGTTTTCACAGGCCTCTGAGAAAGAGCTTTAATAAATACAAATTAAAAGGGAAGTGGGGGAACGAGAACACGAAGTAGCATATGTCTGCCAGAAAAATCATGTGAAAACATTTCTCTCTTTTTCTGGAGCAAGGCCTGATCATAGCTTGAGCAAACCTCACACTCCAGTGCCGCATTGTGAAAGACCTTATAGAGGAACTGAAAGAATATGAAAGAATAGAAAGAATGTGAAAGACCCCACAGAGGTACTAAGCCCCACAGAGGAATTTGTGTTTGGCATTTACTCCATGCTAAGAGAGCTGGTGATTTACTCGAATAGATAGAATTATTTGAATAGATGATAGAATAGACTGAATTGATAGAACTGAAATTTGTCATTGAGATATCAAATTTCCTCTTTGCAAATGGCTTATAGGTATTGTTACATTTGGCTGTGCTGTTTGTAATTACTGAATCACAAGATGGTCTTCAAACCAGTGATATTAACTAAGAATGCCAATGACTAGTGCTCCACAGATGCCTAACAAAGTATAGCATTGCTCCATATGGAATGGAAATGCTTTCCTTCTTTCATTTCCTTCTAGAGCTGGCAGAGTTCTGTGTTGTGGGTCTGAATGTTACAGCTTTAGGCCATGATAGTAGCACATAAACACATAAGGTTAATGGCTCTGTGTGTGTGTGTGTGTGTGTCTGTGCACGTATGTACAGGGATCGGGGTGAAGGTTCTGGGGATATGACATAATCTGGAAAAGAGGAATGAGATGAGCAGGTGTTGCTCATGAGCAAAAGAAAATAGGTGGCAGTTACTAGATGACCTCTCTTACCTGGCCATAGCTCTCTCTCTTGCTGTTTAACAGAAAAGGCAGTTCAGATCCTCAGTAACCTCTTGCTGAGCCCTCGGTCAGTCCAGAAAAATGAAAGCTACAAAGGAAGTCTTTACCCATCGAGGATTTGGGAGGCCAAAAGCAGAAGGAAACAGGATACTGCAGTGTGAAGCTACATGCTAGCTCAACATTGAAAGGAACATGCAACTCCGGTGCTTCTTTTTGTACCTTGGAGAGAAATACGGAAGTGAGCAGAGTGACTAATTGCTGCCTCAACTGAAATGTCTTTTTGTCTCACTAGCTGGGAACCAGAGTTTTAGAGTAAGCAGATGGGAAGTTCAGTTGTGTGTTCAGCAGTTTTTTTTTTGATGCCACTTTTAGTTCCAGAAAGTTTATAACTCGACTTAAAAGGTAGCTTTAACATCAGAGGTAGTTGAGAACTGAGAAGCAACGACATTGTGAACTTTTCCAGTACTCCTGGCTATACTGGGAGCCTGTACTGCAGCCAGAGAACTGGGTACTCATACCATCAACCTGTGAAGTTACACAGCTGGCACTGGTATGTATACTGAAAAGAAGAGTAGAAAGAAGGATTTCTATGTAGAAGAGATTATGAAATCAGTGATGGTCATAATAGCAACCTAACTTGTTTGCACTTTTGCAGTACACTCCTTCCCTGTCTCATTTCTACTACACTGTTTTGTGTTGTGTTAACTGAGTTATAGCAAGTCTTGTCTGGTTTAATAAAAAAACCTGAGTTGTTGGTGTAGATTGAAATTTTATCTGAGGTGCCTCACTTAATCATATATCTACTCTGGTGACGGAGGGCTGCTGAGACAACACCTGCGTGAGGTGGAGGATCTGCTCAGCATGGTGGCAGAGCTGAAAGAAGAAGTAGCAAGACTGAGGAGTATCAGGGAGTGCGAGAGGGAGATAGACTGGTGGAGCCACTCCCTACCATCCCTGAGATGAGCACACCAGATGGAAGCATCAAGAGAAGGAGAGGCTCCCCT